CCCCAAAACCCCAAAACCCCGAATAGGTATAATCATCAATAAAGTAATCAAGGTAATCTCTTTAAAAATCATTATAATTCTAATATTTTCTAATTTGTAATAATAGCATAGATGACCCATCTAACTCTTAATCATTAATAAACTTTACTGTTTATACCTTTACCCTTGCTTTACTTAGAGCTAGTGTTTGATTTATTACTTTGTTTGGACTCTAATGTAGACAACTACAAATCCATAGTGGATAGCTGGCCAGGTATATGCACCTTTTTCTGAGGGTGATAGTACTTGATATCTTTGTTGAGTTTTTTCAACTACTAATCCTGCTAAGGTGGGATTCTTATCTTGATAGTTCGTTGAGCAATTGCTGAGTAGCTTAACCCTGAGTTCCTAAAATCTTTGACTCCTTACTTCTTTTTGGCTCTTATTAATCTGTTTTTATTAGTTTCCACTGGCTCCTCTTCCTCTTCAATCTCAAAGTTCTATCTAAACTGCTCTATTTCTCTTAGAACAGCGAGACTGTTGCTGTTCTTTCGACTAAACTTCTAAAATTAATCAATCTCTTCGAAGTATTCATCCTAAATAATCTTTAGCTCTCTATCTCGATTTTAGCTAGTGTTATTGCTATCTCTGGGATTTTAATAAGCCACTCCTAAGTTCTGATTATATGAACTTGCCAATCCTGAATTACTAACACTCACTTCATAACTTATCTTAGATGGCTTTTTATTTGTAGCAATCAAGCCTCCTCCACCAACTCTAATTATTTCATTATGGGAGTGGGGATGCTTTGTCAGAGATTTATGGTTGGGCTAGCTATGCTAGTGTTAGTGATGATGAGGATTATAATGATTAAACACATCTATCTCATTATGCTACACATGCTAAGGTATTTTCTTGACTATCTGCTTTAGAGTTCTGAGTCTATGAAAACTAGTACTTTTGTTTTCTCTACTTCTGTTGATCTCTTGTTTGGATAAAGAGGAGCTTAGCTGTCTGAAATCCTGATTGAGAAGACCCATCTCCATTGATTAGTCATCATCTTAGATATCATAGCCATCCCTAGATTTCAACTCATAAGTGCTCTTAGAATCTTTGTCCATAGAATGATCCAGAGATGACTTGGAGTTGTTTCTAGTCATCCTTCTGGAGGCAGCATTGCTTGGAGATAAAGTAAGAGAATTTTGTACAGATGGAGACTTATTTCCTAGCATCCTGCACAGCTTCCGCTTAGTTAACTCCTTTGATAGTTCCTCAGCAGTTTTGTCTTTTAATGCAGAGTCCTCCAAAGATACGATTCGTTTTTGAATAAATTTATCCCAATTACTCGGCTTTGAAGGTGTAGTTAGTACAGTATTGTATGAAACTGTGCCATAACCTAAGTTTTACAACTTATGCTATTTGAATTTATCATCGATCTAAAGCTAGTCTCTCTTAGTTGGAATACTGGAATCTCGAGATTATTGCTCTATCTAGAGATTTCGGTTTTTATGTCTTCGATACATAACTTGTAATAATTTCTATTAAGGAAAAGCATTAACTTGTGATTTAAAATTACTGGATCGTTTTGAGCTAGTTACTTAGTTTTTAAAAGCCCCTAGGATTTATGAACATTCAAAGTAGCCTTTTCATGATTTATTTTGCCTTACACAGCTCTATCCTTATCCAATTATTCTCTTATTAGCCTCTTCCTTGATATCTTACTATGTGGATTCACCTCTTGCACTTTGCTGAGGATGGAGGCAATATTTTTCATCTGAAGTGTCCTTTCGTATGTTTTTACATCTGAGTTTGCAAAGTCGAATCTCTCCTTCAACCTGCTTCCCACTGGTAAATTGACCTGCATGTTCTTAATCACATCCAATTTCTAACTTCTAACAGAGTCATCTCAGGCTATATCCTATGTACTCAAAGGCCTAAGTCTAAGCCTGGCAATCTGGAAGGGTCCTCCAATAGGAACCTTCTTAAAATGTCTAATTTGCCTTTATTAAACGGTCTAAAGTATATTTTCCTGCAGCCATTAACCTATGTTCATTTACTGTTAAGGCTCCTTAGTCAGAGAATTTGTTGAGGATAAGATTAAGATGTCTTTTAATACAATGGAAACATGAGGATTGTCTGGCACATCTAGATTAGTGTCCACAGAATACTGATATAAGTCAGATACATTGGATGGTTGAGTGAAGCTTATATGGGACATGACAAAAATTAATAATAATTAAATAATTCAATTTTAAACATGTAAATTTTATTAATTTATTTCTGCAATAATATTTTACATTATTTCTTTGTCGGGGTTTTGGGGTTTTGGGG